TACAGTACTTGTACCTGATTTAAAAAAAACACTAAGAATGCTATTCGGAACTGCTGAAGTCTTCTCTACCCGTTGGCCTGTTGTCCTCTCCTGAGTTCTGGTCCTCTTCTGTTGTTGTTGTTATAGTGATTCATTGTTACCATCATTTATAGGTAAGTTGCTGAAGCTTTGGTTCACTGTCAGTTGTTTAGTTCTGGTTATAAAGTTCGTCAAGCTTTATTAAATCTTGTTGCCGTAGGTAAGGCAGTCCCTAAAGAGGGTCTCGAGACTGTAACTGAACCTGGAATATTTGAATAAAAAGTGATAAACATTATCTTCTCTATTATCGATTTCACAGATACTATTGTCCTTCTTTTTGAATCTAAACAAGTTCCGAAGTTTCCATGACTCGTTAAAGTTTGAGTCAGTTCAAATGAGGGGTTGAAGAACTTGTTTCTTTTCCTTGTTATTATATTGGGTATAAAAGAGAAGGTTTGGCGTCCTGTCTCTGACTCGTTCCATTCATTTTGCCACGCGTCCATAAGAATTTGTTTTGATTTCCTTTTCTATTTCATCCTTTTTTAAATAGGCTGTTTTACATTTATTCTAATTAAATCACATTTGTTTAATTTATTTAAATGTCGAAGTCTAAACTCGAAGTCTAAAACTACGGCAGGCGACGGCCGGATAACCGAGCGGTCAAGGTAGCAGTCCACCAAACTGGGATACGAGGGATCGAATCCGGAAGGGTCGAAAAATCCCCAGGTATATTTCGGAGAGTGGAATAATTATGATGCTATATATGGTGTTAAAATTAAGAAAATGTAATATCGTCCTATACTTATCAAAAATCAAAATATAGAAACTGTATACAATTTTTGTATTTTTATTTGGCTTTTCGACAAGTATAAGCCGACATTATATTAAGTTTTCTTAATTTTTAACTTTAACACCATATATATTACCATAACTATTGCACACTAATGTTTCGTGTACGCAATCGATAAATATTGATGAGAGCTGTAAATTGAAACTCAAACGAGCGTCGTAGCTTCTCCAAGTCAAAATGCATACTAAATGGAAAGTATGTGAAGCAGCGAAACGACCTCAAAATGGCGGCGCTTCCCCCTCCGCCGTGCGCATGCATGACAGTCCCCACTCAACGTAATGAATTCTTTGATCTTTTAACAATCGAGTGTTGTAATTAAATTTTGGATGTAAATAATAGATATGTAGCTGCAATGCCAAACTGTAGCCTCCCGATTTTGTTATCATCAGTTTTCTGAATTGCCTCCCACTAGAGAAGCAAGATTAAAGACGTATTCACGTCAAAAACGAAAGCAATTTCTTTTGGAAGAGGAGAATAAAATATTAGACGAGTTGCAAAAAAGGAATTAACAAAAAGATGTGCCAGATGGCCTACCGGAATGCTGCGTTACAGTGCCAATAAAAGTCGGATCCAATTAGTATTTCAATGGATAGATCACATGACTCCTATTGTGGATCTGCAAGTTCTAGTGGTGGTATCTCTTTGACTGGATAGGCGAACTGTGATACCGTCGGATGAGGGAGATATGTGTTCGAGGATTCGTAAAATTTGTCATTTACACATCCATACTTGTCGCTTTTTATAATGTATCTATTGTAAAAATCCAGCAACGAGTTAATAAACTTTCTTTGGCAACATTTAAAACTGCGTGTGTGACATCATCTGTTATGCGATTTTGTTATAAAAATAATCTCAAATTTTTAATTACTACAAAATGGCAAAAAGCTTAATTTTGAGGGTAGGAATGAGTTTTATACAAAGGTATAAATGTTAAGTTCATTAATGACGAGTAAAATCGTGAAAAAAAAGTCCGACCCTACTGGAAATACACACGACCATCGACTCTACTTTTAACCACCAAAATTTAATAGCATCGATGTCCCTCATATACAAGCCACCCTGCCAAATTTCGTTACTTAATCTTTACCCCATCCCGAGATATTAATTATCTTATTGATTTATTCTAATATATTTTGAAGATCGATTCCTTCGGGACAATGTATGTTAATTATGAACAGTTTAGTGTCCTGTCAATAAATTTCACAACAGGTAATGTATTGGTTGATATGATTTTTGTAAAATAAAATAGGTATGTTCTTATTTTCCAGAATAATAACGCTCCACGGGTACTCATTAGTTCCCTGAAGTATTATACTTTTAGTGGGTAAACAAGCAGGTTTATTGTTAAGACAACATGGTTCTTGTACAAGGACCCCGTCGTAGTTTGAAGTTTTTTCGAGAGCAGCGAGGTGACATCTCTTCCACTGCCGAGGTTTATTTGCAGGATACTAATTGTATCTTTAATTTTATCTTTAATATTTTAAGTTATCTTTAATTTTAATTTCGTGGTCCTCTTTACAATATTTAGCCACGTGTCCGAATTTAAGGCACCTGAAGTATTGCGTCACCAGGAAGAAGTCAGCGACTCTGCACCTCGACCATTGTATATTAATTTTTTCTTCTTTTATTAATAGATTTCGTATGTCAGGGGATGCCTGCAAAACCAAGTTGGTGAATTCTCTCCCCCTTGTTCCCACCGAGAATTTTAAGGTTAATTTGCTTTTTAGGTCTTCGAGATCATATATGTCGTGGTGGAATCGTGTCTCGCTAGGATTGGTCAGATCTGAACCAACAGTAAATGTTGCATGATCAGTTGGATTTGAATGGACGGCGGACCCGACATAGAGCTACAGACGAGCAGAGACGCTGATTGGTCGACTGCCAGTAGCTGTCACGCATATATAGTCAGTTTAGGCGAGAAAATTGGAAGTTGGCTTCTCTTGCTATTGTCTGGAAAATCAGAAGGTATCGTCTGGCCAACGAGAAGTAGATTTCGTCTCGCTAATAACAGGTTATGATTGCCATAAGTGCTACTGCGTTGTAAGGTGTCTTCCTGAACAAACTGATATGGGATACGAACTATTCGCATTTATTGGACTGTTAAGTGTAGTAACTTGACTATATAATTGCTTAATGCAATCATTCTGTCTGTGGATGTCATTTATAATATCGGCTTTATTCTGCTGATTTGGGACAGATTTTAATAATATTAGCGGTAGTTTCTTTTTTGGTAGCACTGTCGAAAATTGTGAAATCGTTTCATTAATCACTCTTTTCAAAGTTTTTAAATCTTCCTCCCTGTGTAGCTTGACTGCAATACCACCCTTATGGATATTTCTAATCCTTTGGACACTTATCTTTAGTTCTGCAAGTTTAACACTTTCCCTAATTAGTTTTTTTCGTATTTTCGCAAGAGTTATTTTCATTTTTATCATAGATTAACAATACATTGTCAGAAAAACCTGGTAAAGATTTCTTGTTTGTTGGTTGAGTTCCCATTTTATTTTTAAGTACTTGACTGTACAGATCAGCAGCCTTTGAGAAATTTAATTCTATTTTAATTATTTTTTCAAGAACACGAGTTTGATTTTCTAAAATTTTTGTTTGGTTTTCATTTTCTATAATTATGTCTAATTTATTGGAGATTTCTTCAAATTTATTCATTTTTATGCCATCACCTTTTGAATGCAACTTGTTATGAATTCAGTGTGTTTCCGAATTCAAATCATGGTTCCACTATTATTTTTTATGTATCCTTTTAGTTAGGTCCTCAAGGACCAAATACGCTGTTTTTCTCAAATCTCCCACAAATTCTTCCCCACTCAGCTTCCTGAGGACAACGCAATATAAACGTTAACAATTCTATCGTTAATAGCCAACCTGGCTAACGTTAAACGTAATAAAATTGGGAGATACTGAATAGTCCATGAAATACGGAGTTACCATTAAAAACTAATGCAACTCCATAGACGCGACCGTTAGGAAAACTGTTATTCTATTTTTAGAACAGTTAGTCTTTTTTTCTTACTGAATCTTTAATCCGTTGTACTTCTGAACGGTTTGGTCCACCATCAAACTTTTGGTAGTGGTGTCTTCCTCTCGTCGAAACGAATTCAACGGTGACCAATATTGTTACCCACACGAAATATTTCCCACGAAAACACAAACAAGAACAAGAGCACAAAACATCACTGACCAGGTTCACCAGTGCCGTACCGTGGGTGTCAGCCGCCCGGGGCGGAGGAAAATTTCGGCCGCTCTTATTTAGGTATTTCAATTTAAAAGACCAAAATTCAGTTTTGTCAATGAACAAGCAATGAAAAATTCGGTGGTAGTGCAGCGACCTGTTTAAAATAGTTCTATTGGATATTAGTGGTGTATATGAACGCGAATGAATCGTATAAGAAAAAAAAAGATCAACAGGTTTCGCAGGAATTTTTTTTTTATTTAGCATTCTGGTACAAAGACCTTGATGCGGGGATATAGAACAAAACAAAGTATACATAACCATACAAAATAATATACACATATTTCACAGATATATCCATCCATTGCAATAACAATTTAATATTAATAGAAAATTACATAATTCAAAAATTATTTTAAACCAAATTCAACAAAAAGAAAAAACAAAAACTTAAACTACATGGGAGAACTATCCGAAAAATTAACAACCAACTAAGTTAAAAAAAAACTTACCTAAAAAAAGAAAGAAAAACAACAGTTTATATCGCTCTTTCAAAAAATCGGATAGTCTCCCAAGCAGTCCAAGCAACAGGTTTCGCAGGAATTCCTCGAACGAAAAAGTTACTAGTTCACCCGGCGAGCCGACTCCCGGACTGTCCGGACGATAGCACTATCGTAGGCGCGATGCAAGTATAAATTAGGATGTTTCAAATTTTTACAAGATATTATTATTTATTATTGCCGCCCCCTAAAATGTGCCGCCCTGCCGCCCCCACTACGGTACGCCACTGAGGTTCACTCATCTAGACTTACAAGTTAGTCTAACCCATTCTTAGTGTCTACAAATCCTCTGCCAAATTTTTTAAATAATGTGTTGCTATTTAACGCTTTTATTCAAGACTTCTTTCGTAAGGCAAAGACAGCCAGCCACATTCAGTTTACTCTATTTTTCGCTTCTTTGATTGTGCTTGTTTTTTTTAAACTTCATAATCATAACCAAAATCTGACAGTGTACCAAAGCTACACCAACTTCAGAGGTTTGAAACAACGTGTAAACTATAACAGCAACACCAGAAGAAGACCAGAACTCAGGACAACCAACCAACGGGTAAAGAAAACTACAGCAGTAACGCGGAACACTTTTAATGTTTCAAAATCCTCTACCAAGTTTAATAATATATGAGTTTGTTTTTAACAATTGTTTTTTAGACTTCCATTGTAAGGCAAAACCAGCCAGTCAATGTATTTTAATTTTATTTCTTTGTACTTTTAATTCTTATTTGAAAATTTATGCGTTGTGGACGCTCATGGGCCCTTTAAGGTCCCCTTTCCTTCGTTCCACCCTTACTTTCCTATCCTCCTTTCTTCACCATTTCATTCTACACAATCTCTTCCCCCATCCTTCCGTTTCCTTACTTAGGGCTAAGTCAGCCGTTAAACGACAGTCCTCTAATTCCTCTATTAAAAGTAGAGTGATAAACCGAAAGGATGATTGATGATGATAAATCGAAATCGTACGATACGTTACCTACCACGGGTTCGCCCATCCCCGCCCTAGAGTAATAGCATCAAAACGAAACCATGACTAACGATAAAAATAAATGTTGCCAGACAGTTTGACATAATATTCATCATTTACTAATAATAATTGATTTATGCATCATAGATTCAGTTATAACGAAATATTCGTTCGTAAGGGACAGATTTTTATTGCGGTAAACCGAAACATTTTTGCATCGAGCCGAATAAGAAATTGTCCAGGGATTCATGATATATTCGTTATACAGACATTTCGTGGTATACGTACTGTACTTTCGAAATCAAACTAATTTTATCACACGTTTGCGTCGATATTGCTGTTTGTCTTCGTATAGATTAAATAGTAATGACACCGAGAAAGATTTCGGAAAGTACACCCGAAGTTTTGGAAAAATCGCGCTCACTCTATCCGAAAATACTCGGATAAAATAGCCAGGTTGACACCAACAGTGTACGGGTAACATCATATTTTATTCGAGCATCGATAAAATCGCCAAGATGATCGATCTCTTGCGATTACAACCGAAACGTTTGCATTTTCAATCGGAGACTGCAGGAAGTAAAATGTTTTCCCCCATTCTTGCGATTTTCGTTACCACTCCGGAAGTTTATATTAAAATTTACGAAAAGTTATTTTAATATAGGCCTACATAAACGGATGGCTACAGAAGAGAATTCACAGATTATTTTAAAATTTCGTTTTATTAAAGACAATAAGTTCAATGTATTCTTTTGATCACGAAAAAAAGAGTAAAGTTTTACTTTCCGAGAAAGCGTCAAAGTTGTTTTTTCGGAGGTATCGAGTCCTACCACTCGAGCTCCCAGAAAGAAATTTCCAGTAACAGTTGATAATTTTTCTCGCCGAGATGCCGTACAAAATCGATTATTCGATTTATTTCTAAGTCGAAACGCGTATTACTATCGAGGTCATTTTCAGATTAACAAATTCGAAACGTTAGTCTCCGCGTTACAATTAGTAATTTTCATTTTTGGGAGCTTGACAATATAGGACGTAAACGGGCGGAAAACAGCAATTCGTAATCCGTAACTTACAAACGAGTTTCCAAGTATTTTACTAGAAATTACCACTTTTGCCGGTAACATTAAGAAAATCGGTACACAATCATGGCAAACAGAAAATATTTACAACTTATTTAATAAATCGATACGCGTAAATTCGTCATTTTCGCCATAGACTTATTTTATTTCACACTTCGTCACGTCTCGTTTCCGAAACAAACTCGACAATATCGATTTTGAAATTTCTCGGTAGTCAATTCTTATCGACGTCCAATCTTCCAATTGGAATCAAATCGACAGACTGAATTGTTCAAATTTGTTTTACAGTTAACTGTTAGATCTTTGTCTTCCTAACCTGCAATTCGAGTAAAATTAATCACACAAGGGGATGCGTGAAGTTAAATCAATTGTATACTCCCTGAGATATCGAGCGAGCATTGCATCCTCCAATTGGACGAGGATTCGTACTGCAATAGTTCATTCTAAGCTTGAAAGCTTCTTAGAATTTACATCTATTGAATACGAAAGGCATTAAGTAAATGGAAGTTTTACATCTAAAATTTCGTTTGCTTAAATACTCCCTGAAGTCCACTAAAACCGGACAGACTTCGATCTTCGTGACGGCAGAGCTTTCTCCAATTTAACTGTTTTGAAGATAGGCAAGTTTGAAATAGTGACTCGTGGCAATTAAAAAGTTGCTACAACTACTTACAATACGTAACAAAACTTACAATACATTTTACATAAGACTTAACACGTCGTCTCGTCCCGGGCTTAACGAATTTTACCACCAAAATCGCAGTAATGACGTGTACCGATGTTGTATCCAAACCAGAACGATCAGATTTATAAAGCCAACGTTAACTTAAAAATCATGCATTTGACCAGAAAGCAGTAATTTTTCTAAAATTTAAGGAAATGGTGGAGTCACTCTCTTGACCCCAGAGCATTAGCTTACGTACAATATACAATATTTTCACCAGCTTCCAACTTGTTTCGACATGGACAAAAAAGGCAGAACACCATTTTTTATATACTTACAGAACATTAAATTAAAAATAATCTTGTTTTGAAAATAAAATCATGCTTGGTAACTTTAGTTACCAGAAATCGAGTCGTTACAATGTATTGGCAGGCAAGCAGCTTTTACACAAGAACAAAAATACTTACGTTAAGAACAGTTGTCCGCAATTATCTGAAAAAATCCATCAAAAGAAAACTTGCTAAAATCTAACAAGACCATTCTGTGGCAATTCGGACGAGTGATCGATCGATCTTATCGTTGAAAGAGTCTTCAATTTTCACGTTAATTCCATTTTCAACTCAAGTATTGAATCTAACATTAACCATATCGGAAAATACTCTCCGAAACTCCCGTCGGGATTAAACGAAATTAGGGCGGCACAGCAGCCAGAATTACGGTCGAAAGTAGTTTCGAAATGTTTTAAATTAGATCTAAAACTGACAGATCACACTCGCGACCAATTCGGTTGAAATGTCATTCCTATTTTTCTCGCACTGTAATAAGAATGTATTTTTTGAATAAAATTCAAAAACCTTTTGGAAACAAATTGCTCATTAGTATTCAACCCGAAGCCGTACTGATAACGCGCTGTACTAAGTTTCCCAAGTTCGATATATTTATTAGAAAATTAATCCGACTGCAATTTCGTTTTCTTACGACTGGAAGTCGAAAGCTTTTGTCATCAGAAAACTAGTCTACCTGCAACGGCACTTCTTTTGTCGTCGGTTAAATTTCGAGTGGAGGATCTACAAATTTACAAATGTAGAAATTTTAAAATACGGGTATCGCGTTTTAAAAAGCCAAAAAACTAATCCCAGCCGTACTCTCTCATTCTGGAAATAGTAAATACCACCTTTGGTCTGTTTGGCCAAATAAATTCTGTCCTGCGGAGTAAAGCTTTTTCTAATTAATTACCTACGTATCTTTTCATAAATACAGTATTAAATTCAAATTACCGCAGTTCGTTTTGCCCATCTTAACGAAATAAAGCTTTTCGTTATATTTCGTACTCGGTCGATCTTACCCGTATTCTCGGTAAAATCTGGATTGGTAGATCCTACATACCTGGTCTCCGGGGATGGCAAGCATCCAGCCAATCTTTAAAAATGCCGTTAACTTCCAAATAAGCAATCCGTTGGTTCGATCCTACAAATAAGAGATTAAATTGGCTCCGCACTTCCCGACTACGTTAACCTACCGAGTAATTGGGAAGAAAATTTCTAATCTAAAATCTCTCGCTTCCAGTCACCGGGTAACGGAGCCGGAAAGACTCGAACACCGTTCGAAAACTCTTCTCCCCCAAGTTTCGAGATGTCGTTCTCAAACTGCGCAGTTAGCTCTGGTCATCCGAGGCACTACAAATAGGAAGAAATATGGCTTTAAAATATAGAATCTCACAGTTAAATAACGAGAAATTAAATATTAAAAAAAAATCTCTGCATTTCTTCCGTAAAAGAACGACGACTCCCATACCCAATTATTTCGAAATCGCATCTGCGATCTTTTATAGCATTTACGGACTCTTCACCGTATACCTACGCCTAGGCCCGAAAAATAGTTCGGCATTGGCACTAGGCATTCAAAATAGTCGCTTCGATATTAATAAAGTTTTGCCTAAAATATATCGGTTAATCCCTCCTGTTTTGGATCAACGACTTTTACTCGTTCCATTCGTCCTACTTTACCGGTTAAATTAAACCGGTCGTCGGACGAATATTATAGTTCTTTGGGTGGAATGCGGTTAAGTCGGATTGCGTCGCAAGGTCCTAGAATATTGCGTCGTATCCTGGTATGGAAAACGGTGTCGTATTGCGGCAGGACCGACGACCTTTGCGCGCGCTTGGCTATCGATCGCCAACTTAAAAATGATAATTCTTTTTACCTCTAGTCCTTAGTGTTTTAGCTTTTTTTATATCGTCTCCCTGGACCTTGTATAAATAGGATTTATTATACCGTGTAGTTTCCACATAGCGAAGAGAGAAGTCTCGGTCGGAAGGCAAAACAAAAATTCACCCGCATCCAAAAAAAGAGCTTAACGTAATTATTGCAACGTTTTTTGGATGCGGGTGAAAATAAAAATGATTTTGTTTTACCTTCCGACCGCTAATCGGAAACAACACCGGTATAATAAGTCCTATTTATAAACAAGATCCAAGAGACGATATAAAAACAAAAATTAAAAATTCTTATATTCTGTAAAGTATCGATTCAAAACTTATTAAAAACTAGTGGAAGAATTATTAAAGAATTATCATTGTTAGTCCGTTTTAATAAGTAACTAATATGCATTTTTGTTAGTTATATATTTTACCAATACGTAAAAATCCTATAACTTTCTATAATCTGTCGATGTATCGTTTTATTTATTAACAAGCAAAATGTTATCGAAGTATGGCGGTTAGATAACGATTGCGAGACCTTTGCCTTCCGCATCACTTTAATATGTCTCTTCCGTAAACACGGGTGCACCTCGTCTACTGAATTCCTTTCTCGTTCGTAATTTACGGATCCGATCAGATTTAAAAACATTACTTTTTTTTATAAATTATAGTTATCGACGACGAATTTATAAACAAAAATGATCGGTTTATAAAACCTTCGTAAAATCGTTTCTAGCCTTTACGATTAATATGGACTCAGTTCTTACCGACGACGGTTAAAATTTAGTGGACGATACTCGCCCAGCTGCCGATTAATGCCAAAATTAATAATACGAAAATACATGTGTAATAATTAACGACGTTTAACTTTTATACCTTTGATAAATCGTTTAAACAACATTTAAGCGTAGAATTAACGATAATTAAATAATATAAGTTATTTTTATTTATTTATCGATAATTTTAATTCGATGAAATTTTTAAACTATTGGGACAGGTCGGAATAAATACCACCAAATTTAATAATTACGGGATGGAGAAAAATATACAAATTAATATAGGCCTAAATATCGGATACAATGGTTAATTTTTCATATCTCGATTTTAACCCGAAAATTATATATTTTACTCGGTGGTTTGCGTCAATTATTTTTTAAAAACCAATGACATTTTTTATTCACTAATATAAACTAGAATATTAAAATGAAAATTAAGAGTATTTTACAAAACAGCTTTTATTTTCATAAATTAAAAACGGTGAAAGTAAATATACATCTTAACATTTTTTTCGTTTCAAATTTCATTGAAATACATCTCGCTCGACCGTAACATTTGCACTCGAAACAAAATTGCCCGGGCCGACGTTAAAAATTCAGTATAAGTTAACAATTGACTAAGTATAAAATATCTCTTTTTATATTGCACGATTTTATTCCATTTACAAAATTTACATTCAAAAAAATTTTTAGCAATAATTAATATGACTTTTTTTATAATATAAAAATCCAAAATGGATAATTATCCTTAATCGCGGGTTGGTCCCTCCGACAACCAGTAGAAATCGGTTGCGTTAGAAATGTAACTCGTACTGTCAAAACGAATTATTATTACGCTTCATTAATATAATTATTACGTAAGAAAATTAAATAGAGCATGAAAATTTGTTTTTTTTTCTGTGAAAACAAATAAATATCTTAGAAAACAACAACAAGGACAATTTAAAGGTTAAAAATTCGAGATTCTGTTATGAGATTATCGAGTAAGTCGCAAAGGCCACGATATTCTTTCAAATGCGGCATTCCAAGAAATTATTTAACCGTACGGTTTTCGTTTATAATAGTCGAGTCGAGACATCACCAACAAAACAAAATAATAATTTACCTAAATTACGAAACTCAAAAATATAAACTAACCAACGACGCATCGTTTCCGAGTTTCCAATTACAATACTTTTATATGTATGTATATCGTCGGGGTCATCGAGAAAGATCTTTATTAATCTTTAACGAGATAATTCGATCCTTGCTCGGAAACAGTCTTCTGTCCGAATTTCAATTTGGAAGATCCACCGAAAGTTATAATTGCGGACGTAATTAAATAATTTTAAAGTTTATTTCTTTTTATTTTAATTCTTTTGAAAGAATGCGTAAACAGCAAGGAATACCGGCTTTAAAAACGAGAAAGTTTCCGTCCATAATATAAGAGAGACTACAAGTAGGCTATTTTTTTAATATTGCTTAACGATTCTACCGGCTGCCAAAGTCGACTTTTGTCTTAATAAAATTCGACTTTTAATCCACAAGTTTTATTAAAATATAAAGAGACGATATCCTTTACGTAGAAGAAACGGCCGTCAACAGTTCCCGGCAACGTTTCTTAAGTTACGTGTCCAATTCTTATTCGAAACTTATTTCCCACCGGACTCGTGTCATTCATAATTCGGATAAAAAGCCAGATAATTAGCTCGCGCTGTGGGAGTTCATTTTGTCGGGAAATTCCGTATGAAAAAAAGACTAATAAAATGGCGTTAACAAATAGTAAGAATATGGACACTATGAAAAATAGCAGATTTTTCAAATTACGTCGGGATGCTAATTTAAAATCTAATATGCACGTAGACCACAATGGCGGTTAGTAGCCCTAAATTCTAAATCGAATGAAACGTTTACTTGTTAATAAATTCATTAAAAAATAATAAAATAATTTAATTGTTAATTAATCGTGCAGTATTTAAATTGAAAAACTTTATAATAATTTCGGCTATAATTATTTAGATTAGTATTTTATATAACACGATATAAATCGTAATGCCGTTTTAAATAAACGCATTGAATTAGATTTTTTTGTCTTCGATATTTGTAATAGTCACAATTTTGATTCATTTTCTGTTTATGTGATTTCTATGATCCGAACGGATAACAAATCTGTTCTTATATCCTTCATTAAAATACAGAGGAGCACTATTTTGGTAATATAACATTTTTAATTAATGTTATTACCAAAATATGTAATTACGTAATACCAAATGTGTAATTAATGTTACGTAACATTACTTAATATTAAAAATAATATTTCTTTTCATTCGGTAATAAAAAAATCATTTAAATTCGGGAAATGAAAGAACATTTTAAATTTCTGAAATAAATAAATGATCTTAAAATTGAGACAATGATTACACTCGTTGGAATTTTGTAATTGCAGAAAATCACGAAATACCTAGTAATATCGTTAATTCGCTTAATTTATTTTCAATTAATATCGTTAATTTTATTTTCTTAAATTCTAAAAAAATTATTTAAAAAATTAATAAAATTATTACTAATGTAAATATTTGTTATTATAAACTTAGTTATTTTTTACGTAAATTTATAACGGCAAATATTTATATTATTAAATATAAAGTATGAAATTACGATAGACCTTTAACCGGTTGTATTTAGTTTAAGACTGCACTGTTATTTATACAACTTAAAATGAAACTAGTACAATTCGTAAAAGATTTTGATTAAATTTAAATTTCAAAAGCGAATATTTCTATCAAATCTGATTTGGTTCGGATTAAAATTACCAATTAATTTAAATTAGTTTTTGATTTGAATTCAATTTTAAGCCATTGTTATAGATACAAAAAATGAAAGACTTCATTAAAAAGAATTCTTGTAAATTTGAAAAAATAAAATAAATGATTAATAAGTGTTATTAAAATAACGTTATCGATTTAGACTTTAGAATTCTATTTGGTACTTACTTGTTAGTTAGTTTGTGGATGAAATTTATCCACTTATAAAATACAAAAAGGGATATTTTACACAGTATGAGATATAAAACGGTTGCAAACTTTCTTTATGAAAAATAAATATAAATATCGTTATAATTTTATGAAAAAATATTTTTCGGATATCACTTTTTTCGTTTAAGTATTTTTACAACTGTATAGATTCTAATTCATATAACTATTAATAGGAACAGAGGACTAGAATATAACTAACTATTTCTGTTAAGTTAATGCTACTTAAATTAAACTTTGTACTATATTCTAAAAATTACTAAATGCTTTCGTTTCATTCTAATATCTGATTGCGGTCGTTATTATGAGTATTCTTTCCAATCCACTATCCGAATTTATTATTTTCTTCTATTCTAATACGAATCTTTTACTAAATTCTTTTTGTTGCTTCTCTTTCCATTCTTTTTTAACTTGTATTCTTTTCAGCTGTCCATCCCTGAAAAAATAATTATTATTTAAACAACGGCGGCAAATAAATTTTAAACTTCCGGATAAGGTTATTTCAATATCTAATCTGGGTTATAACATTTAGCCTTTTATTCTACATTTATAAAATGCATTAGTTTGTTCAATATTTATAATACCTATGTATGATTTAAATATGGTAAAATATATTACATTGAATCTAAAGCAATTATGATTCTAACTAATCAAAATATTCATAATAAATAATAAAATTACTTTTTATCTCATAAATATTTTTAATATTCTAAATCTTTAAATTCATTACATTGTTATGTATTGGCATAGACACCATTTTCAAATGTAATAGGTACAGTATTATGTCCCTACTTCAGATAAATTTTCCTTAAAAACAGATCGGTCAGTAACTTAATCTGAATTAAAGTTACAGATTAATTAAGTTATTCATAAAATTTGAATATCTTTCAAGAATATAATCAGATAGCTATGAAAGAAAAGTATAACAATTTAAAATAAAGAATTGTATTAATGTATTTTCTCTATATAGATAATAAAATTTAGTTATTGTAACTAGACTTTAATATCTGCTCTTAAAAGAAAATAAGCCTGTAATTAGTTTGTTTAATTGTTCAATAAGTAAGTCGTTTAATTGTTTTTAAAAGTCTGCTTGTTTTTTTAATTCTATATGTATTTTCCATACTATGAACAACACTTATGATTAAAATATTTTTTAGAAAAAAAGGTTTTTTTTATTATTATATTAAAATACTTATACAAAAGTAACCACTTCAATAGAAATATCTGTGAAAATAATTTAGAAAAAACTTTTTTTAAACTATTGTAATCATTGCCATCACAAGACAAAAATTATGGATTAAACATACCTAAGTAAAATTTAAAAAAACTGAAACATTGATATCATTCCAAGGGTAATTAACAGAGAATGATTGATTTAATAAAGTCTTTTTCGACAAATTACAGACTATTTTCAAAATTAGAAGTTAATAAGACTGACAAATTTTTGTAAAGGGGAAAACAAGATTTATTTTTAAAATTACAATAAATAATTTATTTTATTTCATTTTATTTTTATATTAAATAATCAAATATTTTTTTATTAGATTAACAAAAAAAAAAATAACTATATTAAACTTTTGGTAGGTATGCTCTCAGATAGTAGGTATAATATATATATTGTTTACTTATACAGTATTAAATGCAATTTAGACCTACAAATAAAACACACTAATTAACATGCTTTCAAATATTTATATTATTCAACAATTATTGGATTGAATTAATAGAAAGATTAATTATTATAATTATTTGAATATGTAAAAATTTTTCCATATTGGAATGTATTCTGCCTTCCAAAAAAATTAACCACAACCATAAATAAGACAAAAGAACTATTTCCAAGTTTTTTGTGGACTTGTATAATATTGTTACAGATTTAGATATAACCCTTAGATATCAATATAATGATAATTTGTAATTATTGTATAGTGGAATGTATGTAAAGTATATTGTAATGTTGGCAATAGTCACCATAGACTCTGTTTTTTGTATGTTGTCCAATTAAAAAGGGCCAGTAAGGCCAAAATGCATTTTGGAATAGGTTAATTAGATGTATTTAATTAACCCATTCCAATATAATAAATGGGAGTTTAATAAGCCTGATTCATTAATTCTGATTAACTGTTTTTTGTAAATTGTCACATTGTTTTACAAATTCTTGGAATTATTTACAATGGCAGAAATAGCATTAAAGCTTAGTTTTATAAAATACACAAAATCCAAGCCCAAACAAAATGTGTATATATTTTTAAAATAAAATAAAGCAATTATAGAGTAGCAACTGCAAATGAAACAATTCACAAATGTTTAATTTCAATTACATTCATCAAAAAAATTATAAAAATTGTTGAACAGAAATAATCCTTTACCTAAACATTTTTCATTTTAATTGATATATTGAAATATGGTATCCTAATATTTTAGTTTATAGAGATGAATCATTGAGTTTTAACTGTGTAATATAGAACACATTCTACTGATTTTTATGATTACCCAAATACTTGTTCCAAAACTGGTGTAGAATGTACAAAGAATCAACAGCACTGTTCAAAATTAAGGAACAGAAGAAAAATAACCTAAAACAGTAAAAATATTACTGTAATACCTATTTCTTTCTTATAAAACAAATATACAGTTTAACCTGATTATAATGTCATCGGATGTAATGACAACCCTAATATAACGTCAAATTTTTATCGGTTCCATGATTTTACAATACTAGATAATGTTAAAAAAACCCACTTGTAATGACATAAAACCCTGTTTTAACGTCATATTTAAAGCACTCCCAGATTTACAAAATTAGATTACAAATTTTATTTAACAAAGAAAATACAGTACATGTACTACGTGTTCAGTTTCTAGGGTCAGAGTCCACTTCCTAGAATGACTTGGGTGGTACTCTCACCACCTGACTTCGGTGGGATGAGGTTTGCCACATCTTTAAACAATGTGACAATTGGTTAGTCTGCATAGTTACTTGTGTTATTTTATACAGATGCAGATATTGTTGAGCAAATTATATCTTCAGATGAAAAAATGATGATGATGAAGATAAAACATCAGACAGAGAAAATGAAGTGCCATCAACCAGGGAAGCACATAATGCAATAACATTATTGAAAATGTTTTACAGGTCTCGGAAAACTTCATCAAAAATAATGAATAAAGTGTATAATGTAGAAAATGACACTGATAAACAATTTTTAGGTGAAAAACACCTACAATCTAAAATAACTCACCTTTTTAAGCAAATATTGTTGTTGTGTCTTTTTAATTGGCATGCATTAGTTTAACCTTTTTATTCGACATTATTCTCAAAACCGGAAGTGCCACCATTATTGAAACTTAAAACAAATAGAAATTTCTTATAAAAAATAATTTTTGAAATTTTTAATTACATTGATGTAAACTCAGACATAATAATGTAAATAAAGTTGATTTAAACAACATTTAGTTTGCACTTTTATACATACAATAATAAATTATTATTACCATAATAGATACACTATACTGTATTACCATTAAGAAATAATTTTATGGTAATACATACAATGTTAAATTAGAATGGATTTTATAATATCTCTTAAACACATTTGGTATTTTTTATAAGACTGAAATTATGACCCCGCAGACGACAACATTCGGTTATAACATCAAAAAGTTGCTTGTCCCATAAATGATATTATAATCAGGTTAAACTGTATTTATCTAACACTTCATTTTTATACATTTTTCACTATTTTTTTAAAAGCCACATTTCACCTACATAATTTATTTTCAGCTATACTATCTATCTATCTTCTTCTCAGCAATATTAGTTACTTATACTACTGAACACACCTGATTATATTTGCCGAGTATTTTTCTTTATTCCAAACATTTTCAGCCTATTCGGATAGGCCATCTTCAGGCTTTCACATTCATTGTTCTAATAAAACCTTTTGTTCGATTTTCATTAGAACAATGAAGGTTCCATTAGAACGATGAATGTGAAAGTCTGAAGATGATCTATCTGAATAGGCTGGAAACGTTTGGAATAAAGAAAAAAACTCGGCAAATATAATCAGGTGTGTTTAGTAGTATAAGTTTCAGCTATACATTAAAAAATACTTGATCCAAAAATATAAATTTTCATTTTGGTGAAAGTCTTTTTATACATTTAAAGTAATTAATTCAGCTATTGTTATATTAGAAAAAAACAATTTTTTTTACTTACCACATTAAATCTAAAAGCCCACCCTTTCGTGCAATTTCAGCTTTCACTCTATTTGCAAATTGAACAGCAGTTTCATTTTCCTAAACAAAATTTTAAAAAACTGAATTTCTGTGAAACTTATCTAGAAGACTAAGATTAATTTTTCTGTATTAAAAACAACATATTAATACATTATAAAAATAACATTGCCATATTTAATGCAGATATAACTTATTTGTATTGAAAGGTGTAAAGACTATATATCTATGCATAATAACAACATTTTAGATAAATATAATATAATAATGCCATTACCTAAAATATTAATGATCCATGATATGAGAATCAAATGAAAATAAGGACACAAATAGCTGACATTATTATTATTATTATGTTGGGTTTAGTGGGTTATACTCGGCTCACACCGGTGGCTGTGTGCTATGCCAGACCAGAGTCAAGGCATAGCAACCAAAACAAAACTAAAATTAAATAAGTGTGTCAGTGTCTGTATTCAGGAATTTCCTAACAATNCCAAAATGGATAATTATCCTTAATCGCGGGTTGGTCCCTCCGACAACCAGTAGAAATCGGTTGCGTTAGAAATGTAACTCGTACTGTCAAAACGAATTATTATTACGCTTCATTAATATAATTATTACGTAAGAAAATTAAATAGAGCATGAAAATTTGTTTTTTTTTTTCTGAAAACAAATAAATATGTTAGAAAACAACAACAAGGACAATTTAAAGGTTAAAAATTCGAGATTCTGTTATGAGATTATCGAGTAAGTCGCAAAGGCCACGATATTCTTTCAAATGCGGCATTCCAAGAAATTATTTAACCGTACGGTTTTCGTTTATAATAGTCGAGTCGAGACATCACCAACAAAACAAAATAATAATTTACCTAAATTACGAAACTCAAAAATATAAACTAACCAACGACGCATCGTTTCCGAGTTTCCAATTACAATACTTTTATATGTATGTATATCGTCGGGGTCATCGAGAAAGACCTTTATTAATCTTTAACGAGATAATTCGATCCTTGCTCGGAAACAGTCTTCTGTCCGAATTTCAATTTGGAAGATCCACCGAAAGTTATAATTGCGGACGTAATTAAATAATTTTAAAGTTTATTTCTTTTTATTTTAATTCTTTTGAAAGAATGCGTAAACAGCAAGGAATATCGGCTTTAAAAACGAGAAAGTTTCCGTCCATAATATAAGAGAGACTACAAGTAGGCTATTTTTTTAATATTGCTTAACGATTCTACCGGCTGCCAAAGTCGACTTTTGTCTTAATAAAATTCGACTTTTAATCCACAAGTTTTATTAAAATATAAAGAGACGATATCCTTTACGTAGAAGAAACGGCCGTCAACAGTTCCCGGCAACGTTTCTTAAGTTACGTGTCCAATTCTTATTCGAAACTTATTTCCCACCGGACTCGTGTCATTCATAATTCGGATAAAAAGCCAGATAATTAGCTCGCGCTGTGGGAGTTCATTTTGTCGGGAAATTCCGTATGAAAAAAAGACTAATAAAATGGCGTTAACAAATAGTAAGAATATGGACACTATGAAAAATAGCAGATTTTTCAAATTACGTCGGGATGCTAATTTAAAATCTAATATGCACGTAGACCACAATGGCGGTTAGTAGCCCTAAATTCTAAATCGAATGAAACGTTTACTTGTTAATAAATTCATTAAAAAATAATAAAATAATTTAATTGTTAATTAATCGTGCAGTATTTAAATTGAAAAACTTTATAATAATTTCGGCTATAATTATTTAGATTAGTATTTTATATAACACGATATAAATCGTAATGCCGTTTTAAATAAACGCATTGAATTAGATTTTTTTGTCTTCGATATTTGTAATAGTCACAATTTTGATTCATTTTCTGTTTATGTGATTTCTATGATCCGAACGGATAACAAATCTGTTCTTATATCCTTCATTAAAATACAGAGGAGCACTATTTTGGTAATATAACATTTTTAATTAATGTTATTACCAAAATATGTAATTACGTAATACCAAATGTGTAATTAATGTTACGTAACATTACTTAATATTAAAAATAATATTTCTTTTCATTCGGTAATAAAAAAATCATTTAAATTCGGGAAATGAAAGAACATTTTAAATTTCTGAAATAAATAAATGATCTTAAAATTGAGACAATGATTACACTCGTTGGAATTTTGTAATTGCAGAAAATCACGAAATACCTAGTAATATCGTTAATTCGCTTAATTTATTTTCAATTAATATCGTTAATTTTATTTTCTTAAATTCTAAAAAAATTATTTAAAAAATTAATAAAATTATTACTAATGTAAATATTTGTTATTATAAACTTAGTTATTTTTTACGTAAATTTATAACGGCAAATATTTATATTATTAAATATAAAGTATGAAATTACGATAGACCTTTAACCGGTTGTATTTAGTTTAAGACTGCACTGTTATTTATACAACTTAAAATGAAACTAGTACAATTCGTAAAAGATTTTGATTAAATTTAAATTTCAAAAGCGAATATTTCTATCAAATCTGATTTGGTTCGGATTAAAATTACCAATTAATTTAAATTAGTTTTTGATTTGAATTCAATTTTAAGCCATTGTTATAGATACAAAAAATGAAAGACTTCATTAAAAAGAATTCTTGTAAATTTGAAAAAATAAAATAAATGATTAATAAGTGTTATTAAAATAACGTTATCGATTTAGACTTTAGAATTCTATTTGGTACTTACTTGTTAGTTAGTTTGTGGATGAAATTTATCCACTTATAAAATACAAAAAGGGATATTTTACACAGTATGAGATATAAAACGGTTGCAAACTTTCTTTATGAAAAATAAATATAAATATCGTTATAATTTTATGAAAAAATATTTTTCGGATATCACTTTTTTCGTTTAAGTATTTTTACAACTGTATAGATTCTAATTCATATAACTATTAATAGGAACAGAGGACTAGAATATAACTAACTATTTCTGTTAAGTTAATGCTACTTAAATTAAACTTTGTACTATATTCTAAAAATTACTAAATGCTTTCGTTTCATTCTAATATCTGATTGCGGTCGTTATTATGAGTATTCTTTCCAATCCACTATCCGAATTTATTATTTTCTTCTATTCTAATACGAATCTTTTACTAAATTCTTTTTGTTGCTTCTCTTTCCATTCTTTTTTAACTTGTATTCTTTTCAGCTGTCCATCCCTGAAAAAATAATTATTATTTAAACAACGGCGGCAAATAAATTTTAAACTTCCGGATAAGGTTATTTCAATATCTAATCTGGGTTATAACATTTAGACTTTTATTCTACATTTATAAAATGCATTAGTTTGTTCAATATTTATAATACCTATGTATGATTTAAATATGGTAAAATATATTACATTGAATCTAAAGCAATTATGATTCTAACTAATCAAAATATTCATAATAAATAATAAAATTACTTTTTATCTCATAAATATTTTTAATATTCTAAATCTTTAAATTCATTACATTGTTATGTATTGGCATAGACACCATTTTCAAATGTAATAGGTACAGTATTATGTCCCTACTTCAGATAAATTTTCCTTAAAAACAGATCGGTCAGTAACTTAATCTGAATTAAAGTTACAGATTAATTAAGTTATTCATAAAATTTGAATATCTTTCAAGAATATAATCAGATAGCTATGAAAGAAAAGTATAACAATTTAAAATAAAGAATTGTATTAATGTATTTTCTCTATATAGATAATAAAATTTAGTTATTGTAACTAGACTTTAATATCTGCTCTTAAAAGAAAATAAGCCTGTAATTAGTTTGTTTAATTGTTCAATAAGTAAGTCGTTTAATTGTTTTTAAAAGTCTGCTTGTTTTTTTAATTCTATATGTATTTTCCATACTATGAACAACACTTATGATTAAAATATTTTTTAGAAAAAAAGGTTTTTTTTATTATTATATTAAAATACTTATACAAAAGTAACCACTTCAATAGAAATATCTGTGAAAATAATTTAGAAAAAACTTTTTTTAAACTATTGTAATCATTGCCATCACAAGACAAAAATTATGGATTAAACATACCTAAGTAAAATTTAAAAAAACTGAAACATTGATATCATTCCAAGGGTAATTAACAGAGAATGATTGATTTAATAAAGTCTTTTTCGACAAATTACAGACTATTTTCAAAATTAGAAGTTAATAAGACTGACAAATTTTTGTAAAGGGGAAAACAAGATTTATTTTTAAAATTACAATAAATAATTTATTTTATTTCATTTTATTTTTATATTAAATAATCAAATATTTTTTTATTAGATTAACAAAAAAAAAAATAACTATATTAAACTTTTGGTAGGTATGCTCTCAGATAGTAGGTATAATATATATATTGTTTACTTATACAGTATTAAATGCAATTTAGACCTACAAATAAAACACACTAATTAACATGCTTTCAAATATTTATATTATTCAACAATTATTGGATTGAATTAATAGAAAGATTAATTATTATAATTATTTGAATATGTAAAAATTTTTCCATATTGGAATGTATTCTGCCTTCCAAAAAAATTAACCACAACCATAAATAAGACAAAAGAACTATTTCCAAGTTTTTTGTGGACTTGTATAATATTGTTACAGATTTAGATATAACCCTTAGATATCAATATAATGATAATTTGTAATTATTGTATAGTGGAATGTATGTAAAGTATATTGTAATGTTGGCAATAGTCACCATAGACTCTGTTTTTTGTATGTTGTCCAATTAAAAAGGGCCAGTAAGGCCAAAATGCATTTTGGAATAGGTTAATTAGATGTATTTAATTAACCCATTCCAATATAATAAATGGGAGTTTAATAAGCCTGATTCATTAATTCTGATTAACTGTTTTTTGTAAATTGTCACATTGTTTTACAAATTCTTGGAATTATTTACAATGGCAGAAATAGCATTAAAGCTTAGTTTTATAAAATACACAAAATCCAAGCCCAAACAAAATGTGTATATATTTTTAAAATAAAATAAAGCAATTATAGAGTAGCAACTGCAAATGAAACAATTCACAAATGTTTAATTTCAATTACATTCATCAAAAAAATTATAAAAATTGTTGAACAGAAATAATCCTTTACCTAAACATTTTTCATTTTAATTGATATATTGAAATATGGTATCCTAATATTTTAGTTTATAGAGATGAATCATTGAGTTTTAACTGTGTAATATAGAACACATTCTACTGATTTTTATGATTACCCAAATACTTGTTCCAAAACTGGTGTAGAATGTACAAAGAATCAACAGCACTGTTCAAAATTAAGGAACAGAAGAAAAATAACCTAAAACAGTAAAAATATTACTGTAATACCTATTTCTTTCTTATAAAACAAATATACAGTTTAACCTGATTATAATGTCATCGGATGTAATGACAACCCTAATATAACGTCAAATTTTTATCGGTTCCATGATTTTACAATACTAGATAATGTTAAAAAAACCCACTTGTAATGACATAAAACCCTGTTTTAACGTCATATTTAAAGCACTCCCAGATTTACAAAATTAGATTACAAATTTTATTTAACAAAGAAAATACAGTACATGTACTACGTGTTCAGTTTCTAGGGTCAGAGTCCACTTCCTAGAATGACTTGGGTGGTACTCTCACCACCTGACTTCGGTGGGATGAGGTTTGCCACATCTTTAAACAATGTGACAATTGGTTAGTCTGCATAGTTACTTGTGTTATTTTATACAGATGCAGATATTGTTGAGCAAATTATATCTTCAGATGAAAAAATGATGATGATGAAGATAAAACATCAGACAGAGAAAATGAAGTGCCGTCAACCAGGGAAGCACATAATGCAATAACATTATTGAAAATGTTTTACAGGTCTCGGAAAACTTCATCAAAAATAATGAATAAAGTGTATAATGTAGAAAATGACACTGATAAACAATTTTTAGGTGAAAAACACCTACAATCTAAAATAACTCACCTTTTTAAGCAAATATTGTTGTTGTGTCTTTTTAATTGGCATGCATTAGTTTAACCTTTTTATTCGACATTATTCTCAAAACCGGAAGTGCCACCATTATTGAAACTTAAAACAAATAGAAATTTCTTATAAAAAATAATTTTTGAAATTTTTAATTACATTGATGTAAACTCAGACATAATAATGTAAATAAAGTTGATTTAAACAACATTTAGTTTGCACTTTTATACATACAATAATAAATTATTATTACCATAATAGATACACTATACTGTATTACCATTAAGAAATAATTTTATGGTAATACATACAATGTTAAATTAGAATGGATTTTATAATATCTCTTAAACACATTTGGTATTTTTTATAAGACTGAAATTATGACCCCGCAGACGACAACATTCGGTTATAACATCAAAAAGTTGCTTGTCCCATAAATGATATTATAATCAGGTTAAACTGTATTTATCTAACACTTCATTTTTATACATTTTTCACTATTTTTTTAAAAGCCACATTTCACCTACATAATTTATTTTCAGCTATACTATCTATCTATCTTCTTCTCAGCAATATTAGTTACTTATACTACTGAACACACCTGATTATATTTGCCGAGTATTTTTCTTTATTCCAAACATTTTCAGCCTATTCGGATAGGCCATCTTCAGGCTTTCACATTCATTGTTCTAATAAAACCTTTTGTTCGATTTTCATTAGAACAATGAAGGTTCCATTAGAACGATGAATGTGAAAGTCTGAAGATGATCTATCTGAATAGGCTGGAAACGTTTGGAATAAAGAAAAAAACTCGGCAAATATAATCAGGTGTGTTTAGTAGTATAAGTTTCAGCTATACATTAAAAAATACTTGATCCAAAAATATAAATTTTCATTTTGGTGAAAGTCTTTTTATACATTTAAAGTAATTAATTCAGCTATTGTTATATTAGAAAAAAACAATTTTTTTTACTTACCACATTAAATCTAAAAGCCCACCCTTTCGTGCAATTTCAGCTTTCACTCTATTTGCAAATTGAACAGCAGTTTCATTTTCCTAAACAAAATTTTAAAAAACTGAATTTCTGTGAAACTTATCTAGAAGACTAAGATTAATTTTTCTGTATTAAAAACAACATATTAATACATTATAAAAATAACATTGCCATATTTAATGCAGATATAACTTATTTGTATTGAAAGGTGTAAAGACTATATATCTATGCATAATAACAACATTTTAGATAAATATAATATAATAATGCCATTACCTAAAATATTAATGATCCATGATATGAGAATCAAATGAAAATAAGGACACAAATAGCTGACATTATTATTATTATTATGTTGGGTTTAGTGGGTTATACTCGGCTCACACCGGTGGCTGTGTGCTATGCCAGACCAGAGTCAAGGCATAGCAACCAAAACAAAACTAAAATTAAATAAGTGTGTCAGTGTCTGTATTCAGGAATTTCCTAACAATATGGCATGTATTCAATATAGTGGCCTTCTGTAGTGNAACGCGGACCTTGTTAATCCGGTCGATGTCCGAGCCGGTATCATAGTTAGATGTGGTTACTACCATGATAATTATCTCTACAGAATGTGGGTGTGGTCACTCTTAGCTTCATTTCTCCCCATAGACCTTACTGGCATGGGTGTTCCTACCAAAAGCTTGTGCACCAGCCTGCATTGCCCTATGGATTTTTTCTTATTATTATTATTATTATTATTATTATTATTATTATATTTTGATTATTTCATTTTTATAGCAAATTGTAGTTCCATAGAAAGTTATGTTCTATTTGAAACATCTTCTTTCTTAACTTTCAAAATGAAATTCTTTTAAATAAATTTTACTGCTAAAAGCTGAATATTTAATAAGGATATAAATGACTAATCAATATGAATGTATTTATACTATATATTTACTTATAACTTCTTATTGATTAAAATTCTAGATTTCTAAGATATAATTGCTTAAAAGAAAAAGTAATTTATAAACTGATATTTATAAATGAAAATACTGTAGTTTAAAATAATTTTTTATTTTTATTATTAAAATAAATTTATAAAATTTACTTACAGATATTTTCATAGGAGGCAAATACCAAACATCACAGACAATAGCCCAACTGGACATCATTCGAAACAAGTAATGAACATATCCATATCTACTACTATCCCAAAATGGATCTCCAAATTTTGAATCATACTATGTATTTAATGAAAACAATAATATGTATATACATATACAGTACATCTACATATCTTATTTACAAAATAAGAAATTCAATATATTACCTTGATAGCCACTGGATATATATATCCACCAATTTCAAAACTTCCCTTTTTAAACATCATGACTGAGGTATTATTGATACATGTTCCTAAAATATACATATATATATATTTTAATAAATATATAAATTTATAATTTTTTAGAGCATAACTTTATAATTAAAGTTTTAATAATAATATTGCAAGAAATTAAATAACTTTTATTATAATTTTATTATTAAATATTTATTTTTAGATATGTTGAACTAATGATGAGTTTTGCAAAATGTTGACTACAGCTCACACAGTAACATGATATCAATTTTGTAAGAATGCCATGTTAATTATTGACACATCAGATATCAATTTATTCATTTAAAAAACAAAAATTTGACATTTGTGCTATTAGTTGTTATTTTCCATTCTATACCGTATATAAAACTTAAAAATTTAATTAAATTTATTTCAACATAATAAAAGAATTATTAAATTTAATTTTCTAAATACATATTATTTTAAATAGTAAAATTACCTAATGTAAAGTTATTATAGTTACAGTAATCTATAGTTTGATTACTGTAACTATAACAACTTTATTTTTTGAAACTAAATGATTGGTTTCAAAAAATTCTTATTTATAAAACAATTTTTGCATTATGTAATTTTAGTAAGTAATATCCTGCTTAACACTGCCTCGATTAATGCTAATTCGATATAATGCGATCTGTTCAAAGCCTTAAAGCAGCTCAAAATTTACACTGATTCAAATTATCGTGTCATTTCATTGATTCATATATAATACAATTATTTACGAACACAAACCAATCAGCAAAAGATGACAATTCATCATAGCACTGTACTTCCCTTAAATCCATGTTTGTTTTGTGCAATTTTGGAAAAAATATAACATTGTGGATGCCATAGAAAATATCAACTTTGCTTGGCAAGAATTAACTGATAAATGCATGAATGGAATGTGGAAGAAGTTATAGCTGATGGTATCCAAGAATTCTCAACGAGAAGAGCCTATTGCTATAGCATTAGGTTTAATCGATACAGNTCAATTTTGTAAGAATGCCATGTTAATTATTGACACATCAGATATCAATTTATTCATTTAAAAAACAAAAATTTGACATTTGTGCTATTAGTTGTTATTTTCCATTCTATACCGTATATAAAACTTAAAAATTTAATTAAATTTATTTCAACATAATAAAAGAATTATTAAATTTAATTTTCTAAATACATATTATTTTAAATAGTAAAATTACCTAATGTAAAGTTATTATAGTTACAGTAATCTATAGTTTGATTACTGTAACTATAATAACTTTATTTTTTGAAACTAAATGATTGGTTTCAAAAAATTCTTATTTATAAAACAATTTTTGCATTATGTAATTTTAGTAAGTAATATCCTGCTTAACACTGCCTCGATTAATGCTAATTCGATATAATGCGATCTGTTCAAAGCCTTAAAGCAGCTCAAAATTTACACTGATTCAAATTATCGTGTCATTTCATTGATTCATATATAATACAATTATTTACGAACACAAACCAATCAGCAAAAGATGACAATTCATCATAGCACTGTACTTCCCTTAAATCCATGTTTGTTTTGTGCAATTTTGGAAAAAATATAACATTGTGGTTGCCATAGAAAATATCAACTTTGCTTGGCAAGAATTAACTGATAAATGCATGAATGGAATGTGGAAGAAGTTATAGCTGATGGTATCCAAGAATTCTCAACGAGAAGAGCCTATTGCTATAGCATTAGGTTTAATCGATACAGCAGGATATTGAGGAGTTACTACAGGTTTCTGGTGAGAGCCTTACCAACAACCTTCAAGAACTGGCAGAACAAGGAATTCATGTAGAACTGGAAAATAGGGATTCTGAAAACAAAAAACACAGAATTTTTCTACAGATTTCCTTAGTAAAAGTTTGGTAATGATAACTGAAATCGTTGATCAAATTGTAGTGAATGATCCAGATTTTGAAAGGAGTGCAAAAGCAAGATGAGGCATTTTGGATGTAATCTGCTACTAACATTTGCTTAAGGAAAGAAAAAAAGAAAAAAAAAAAAAGACAAATGAAACTACACAACTTTATCGCAAAAAACAAGAATTTCAGAAGAACCAGGACCCTCATCACAAAAAATGAACTTTACANATACTAACATTTGCTTAAGGAAAGAAAAAAAGAAAAAAAAAAAAAAGACAAATGAAACTACACAACTTTATCGCAAAAAACAAGAATTTCAGAAGAACCAGGACCCTCATCACAAAAAATGAACTTTACACTTCTGTGTGTATATGTTTGTGTTATTTAACATATATTATTCAGGGCTTAAAGCAGTCGTGGCAGTGAAAAAAAAGTGAAAAAAGAAAGTTCACACTGAAAAAAAGCTAATAGTGTTAAAGTGAAATAAAAGAGGCATTATTAAAAAACACACAAACACATACACATTTTGTGTCAATAACATTGCATATGATATTAGATTGATTTTTAATTGGACTGAAAAAATTAAATATGAAAATAGCTAGGCTGAGTTTATACTTCAGAAAATTGACCAGTAAGACTGCATTAATCCAGAACGGGCCTGCATTAAGTTTTCATGTGCCCCGTATGGAATTTCTACTGCTATACAGCAAAGGAAATGGAAGAGTAACATAACTACCAGAATGTGTCTCCATAGAACATGTCAAATTTCAAATGCCATTTATTTCAAGGTACATTTTTTGATTTCTTGTTAAAAAAATTTCTTTTGTTTAAGTCATGCTGCAGTTTCTGCACTTCTCTTGTTTTCTCCTCTTCATCACAATTAAATTTTCTTCACACCAGAGTAAGCAATTCCCTATAAAGTTTATGTATTAAAGGATCATTGCACTAAAAATGCCCAGTAAACTTTGTGAATAGTTCAGCACTAGATATTCCCAAATAGAGTTCAGCTTTGATGGTCACACTTCAATGACTTTGAATGAGATTATCTTATATGAAACTCTATTCATTAAGCTGGAATTCTTGAGGAATATGCTTTAGGAAGTATAATATGAGTCCTTCCCATTGTTCGATCAGTCATTTTGCTGCAGGACCAAACGTCAGTCATCTAGTTGATGAATACTCCATAAATTTGTTGCATGGCAAATTAAGTTTCTCTTGAACTTCTGTATATTCATCCCTCGTAGAGGGCCACCCATCAAAAAAGCTGTGTGTTGCTATGATGAGATCATTACCATCTCCGCCCAACTCTTTCAGGCCTTTCAAAAAGGCATTGTGGATTGTATGAGTGCTGCAAGTCCCTATGTTGATGAGGCCTTTTTTGCAAGTTGTCAGAATTTCCTCATTTATTAGACAATACTTTTTTGTTTACATTTCGTCCATTGCATCCAATCATCAGTAATTTATCAAAAGGTAGATAATACTGGCAATTGAAGATGCATATTTTTGATTTAATTGTTTTGGCATCTGCATGCCTGATAAATGAGGTCTGGAGATGCCTGCAGACAACTTCCTGTTGTTTCTCTGACCAGTATGTAATCAGTATTTGCAGTTATTTTCTATCTTCTACATTGCAAATCTCATCATAAGAAATGCTATAATATGACCATTGTGCATCATCTACTATTTGATCAAAGAAATATGGGGCCAAAGCTTCAGTGATTAAGTATCTCATTTTTTGATGTGACAATGAGAATTCTTTTGGAAGATTGTCTGCACACTTGGCATTGATTGTCTCCTTTATATTATGACATGACGCAAATGAATAATTGCTGGCTGTCATTTTCATAGTCCATATAAGCTCTGAATGTAAGCACCATCTTTTGCACTACAAACTTGAAGCACTGGTTGTTGCAATGATTGGTGTTCTGAACTGGTACCTGAGTCTACAACATTGCTCACACTAGCAACACTTTCAGCACTAATACTTTGATATTGAGACATCTTAGGAGAAGTCATCAGTCTTAACTGCTTGGGACCAAAGGCTTCATTGCATTTATTTATGTTTCATGCAGCTTGAATGTTGGAGGATTGCAGTATGGGGGTGTGCGGGTCACTATTTTGCTCCTGAATGCATTTACAAAAATAAATAAATAAATACCACATGAGAAGTGAAAAAAGCAAGTTTGCCTCAGAAAAAGCTAAAAAAGAGAGGAGCTATGAAAAAAGCTAAAAAAGTGAGTCACTTTAAGCTCTGTATTATTATGCAAATTACAGGTAACCCTCATATAACACGGCACTTCTATAGCACAGATTCACTCTAACACAGTTCGAGAATTGGTAACATCCCTGTATAACACGAATTCACTCAAATACTGTTTGAGAATTGGATGAAACCCTTGTACAACATGAAATGTAATAAATTTTCACATACTTAAGTACTAATAGTTTACAAAAATTACTTTTATGAACTATTAGTACTTAAGTATGTAAATTTTCTTTTCCGCCTTCTGTCGATACACGTAATCCTTCTCAAAACTTGTTTCAGTGTTGCCAGATCTTGACACTTCTGATTTTGTCTTGCCAGATGTTTTCCCTTATTCCATCCTTGCTTTATTCTTCATAAGTGCTTAGCACTATATAAGGAAATTTATAAAGATCTTTTAACTAAAAGCAAGCAATAACGTATTTTTTGCAAAAGGTAGAGCATGGATCTGAAGATAATGCAGAAAAATGCTCAGAGGATATCTTGCCAAAAAGAAAATGCCCTAGAAAAGCCAATAGTGCTTAGTGATAACAAAGAAAACATTGTTTAATTTATATTAATATGTATCGCTTAAGAAAATTTTAATAACAATATTTATCTTAATTATGAGAATATAATAGCATGTTTTTTAATTTTTGGAACCTAACCCCCCTTTTTGTACTTGTTTTTTGTTTCGTATAACACGGATTCACATAACACAGCAATTTTTTGGAACATAACTCACGTGTTAAACAAGGGTTACCTATTATATAAAAATAACTTAAAATTGAAGTAAAATTTGCTTATTTTTGGTCATGTGTTCCCCTTTCCCTATTTACTCTATGTTAGAATGACCTCATTTAATGCTGTTCCATTTAGCACTTTGTCATCTAGGAACCTATCTCCCATGTTAAGCGGAGTCTTACTGTATTTTAAATAGAAAATAAAAGTAAAAAAATATTTTTTTTATATAAATAAATTTATTGGATCTTAAGTTTCATAATATATGTATTATATAAATTATATAAAAATTCTAAAATGGAAATATACTGTTGTATATATTTGTCCTACAGTGAAATGCCAATCTACAGTTAATTCGTAGTCAAGGATTATCATCCTAATAAAGTTATTTGTATGATTAAATAACACTTTAATAAGTAACTTATTGTAAATAAAAATCTCTGTTATCTCTATTACTTTAAAATCTATTGCTCAGTTAAGGAAAATAATATAAGTCTTATATTAAAATATAAAATCAAAATCATCTGTTTAAGATCTTCATAAGCAGTGGTGATATTCAGCGGGTTCGCACAGGTTCGGCCGAACCTGTTGTTAACATTTTCAAAGTTTTCCGAACCCGTTGTTAAACACACGTAACATTTTTCAGCGGTTTTGTTTCTTTTAAAAAATATATTAAAATATACGAATTATACTCTGTAACACTACTAAACTAGAGCCTTATACCCCGTTCGCCATGTTCCACTTGTCGCCGTTCGCATATAACCTCCATCGACCGTTTCAATCTCGACTGAAACGAGATTTAATCGCGATCGACTCAAGAGAGTTCTTGAAACTAGATCCAGTCATACGAGGGATCCCACAATCCCACGCGCGCGAGAAAATACAAGATGGCTGCGGAACACGTGTCCGGCTATCGACAGCGAAATAAAAAAGATATTGTATTTCGAGAAACAATGACATCTGTCTCTTATTATAATAATACCTAATGATAAAATAAACGATTTAAAAAGTTTTTTCTTGAGAAAAAGTCATAGGGAAAGCAATTAACTCCTTGGGACTCTAGCAATTTTTGATATTAATGTAATTAAACATAAAAAATACTTAAAACTGAAAAAACGAAAGAAATGCGTTAATTTTGAAGAAAAAGCTTCAGATTTTATTTTCCTTTGTCTCGTCTTTCTGTGAAATCTTACGCTGATGAGTCATTGTTTAAACAGCTGGATGACCTTGAACACAGCTGGAGTCCGATTTTCCGGGACATTCTCATAGAAGTCTCGGGAGGCGATAGGTTTATAGTAGGGTGAATACTAGTTGGCCGTATATTTTTAAATATTTTTAAAAAATTAAAATTTTTATTGCGATTTCCGACCCCCCCGACTTAATTAAACTTATATATAATAAAATCTATTAATTAAAAAAATTTAGAAACTATCGGAGGTCGTTTTTGACATCAGAAACTAGCTTTAAATAACTTTACCGAAGTAAAATCCGTGCGCTACAACTTTAGAACGATGAATGAAATTTGATATCAAACTCCCATTAAAAAACAATTAAAAAGCAATTAAGTGTGAATCGTGCGTCATTAAAGGTAAATTAAAATCGCGATAAAATTTTTTCGCACGGAAAAAAATTTTTGAAAAAATTTGGAGACTTAAAAAACATTCCAAAAAGCCAAAAAAACAAAACTTTTAGGAGGACCAAACGCCCGAGTTTTATGTAACGCTATGTAACTTGCCCGAGATATCTCGGGCTTGGGGTTAGGTTAAGGAAAAAGTTTCTGTTAGCGAACCCTTTGTTAAATATTTCGAATATCACCACTGTTCATAAGAATATATAATCATTAAAACACAAATAAATCAAAATATCCAATATTTAAGCTAAACAAAATTCTTCTGTTCAGAATTATGCAATTTCATAAATTATAATTAATAACTATTATTGTAAAAATTTTATTCATGAGATTATTATATCTGTATATTAACATCCTTTCAAATCTGCACCAAATTACATAATTATGAGCCTTGACTTTGTATGCTAATACATGTATTTTGAAATATGAATAAATAGACTAATTTAATTTTTAGTTATTAAATTTAACAACATTAGATTATACATTGTATTGTTCAGAGTATTACAAAATAGACACCCTTTTTATTCTAATGAACAGCAAATTGTCTAACTTTTTTCATCTTGCAGTTGCACTATTTATACTGAATTTATTCATATAATAGTCACAACTATTATTAAAACAAATGAGTTTTCACGCAACTATTCTTTCAAAGCATGAAAATTACATCCAGTATACTAGTAAATAGCAATTAAACTTTGAAATGTTTTATATTAATTGGTATTCATTCTAATAAATGTACACTGTAATCTTATACCTACAAATCTGTTTTTCTTTAATTAAACATTCTATCCTGTGTTCAAATGCCTACAAGTTCATAATACTGGCAACTATTATTTCAATTCTTTGGGAACTGGATTCAACTATTATTTCAAGATGCCTGTTAATGGAATAAATCCATAGAAACTTTTTTATTTTATGAAACTATTTTTACTATTCAAACAATGCAATACTCAAAAAACAAACTTTCAACATCAAGTAAGAAATACATTTTGATAGCAGTAACAACAATAAATAAAATGTGAAGATTTTCAGTTTAAAATAAACATACTATCTATTGGAGAAAGATAGACTTCCTTCAATACACAGTATGCTTACAATTACAGTGTGCTGTTTATAACATTTTTGATTAATGCCAAACAATTGCCAGATTACATCAGCCTATATTTATGCTACTAATTACTAATTATAAATGTCAAGTAATTTGACCTAGAGGTAGGCACCATCTCTTGATAAATTTAATTATTATAATTAAATTAATATTTAATAACTAATTTAGAAGATTCTTCCAGGTGCTTCTAAATTATTTGTATTTATACACCATGCCAGAGTAAAGCAATATCCAGCTGAATGTCACGGTGGGAGTTATAGACTCTGGGTGCTATAGCCATCTCCAGTCAGTGCCATGAATAACCAGTATGGTTATATCTAAATTAATAGTTCTGGAAGAGTGAAGATTGGACAGAAGTCTGGATAGCATAGCCAACAACATGCTTGCACAGCAAGCGAGAGTTGTAGGTTTGAATCCCTCTCTGGACCAATTCTTTTCTTCCAGAACCTTCTAGAATTATTCTAATTAGAATTATTAAATTTATCAAGCAATAGCACCTAACACCTACCTCTAGGCCAAATTACTTGACATTTAATTAGTAATTAGTAGCACTAACGTAGTGTGTTGTAATCTGGCAATCATTTGGCATTAACCTAAGAATCAGTTTATGGATCTTTATAACTTTTTGTCTTGCAGCTATACTATTTATTAGAATAAATATGGTCCTTTTTTTGCATAAAGCTTTGAAGTTTAACCTTCTGTTAGTCGCATGGGTCTGACAGACCCGACGCGATTTTCAGTCAAAATTTTTTACTATTAAATATTTTTTGAAAAATTTGAAAAAATTAATATTCCTCAAACTTTTTAATTAGATTAACATGCTGTTAAAATTTTTTGCATAGCAACGCTCATTTTTTAGAAAAAAAATGCTTTACGAGTCGCATGGGTATGACAGACCCATGCGACTCACGGAGGGGGTAAAAAAACGTCAATTAATTTGTCGCCGTTGCCGATAGCNATATCATGTTAATTAATTTCAATTCTTAATCAATATAATACATACCTTCAGGAAATATCAATATTGGCAACTTGTTAGGATCTTCTATATGCTGTTTTAGCCTGAAAACACAGTTTTATTATGTATTAAATATTATTAAAATACTAAAATACTTAAATATTGCCACATTTTTAAATTGCAGATTTTACTTTCAAAAGATAGATGATTAAACTAATTTATCTAAAGTAAGATAACTTTAAATAATTCCAATTTTTTTCACAACATTTAGAATAAATAAATAAATAAAAACAAGAACTTATACTGGAATGAATAAATAATATAAAATAAAATAAACCTTTAACTATCCAGCAATAAAAATGTTTAATAAAAACGTTTTCAACCGAGCCATGAATTCCAAGCAAGCAGTGAAACACCTTGAAAAGATAGAGATACACAAGGCACACATAAATAAGGGATGCATTAATCATAGAGATGCAGAAGGGTTATCTTATGCCCGGAAATCCTTTTACAATAATGCAGATTAACACCTTGTAATCAACATATATTCCCCCCTATTTTTGGCAGCTTTATTATTTTTATGTTATTTGCAGATTTTCAGAAGACACAAGTCCAATGAATTACGCATGTGCATTTTTGGTTTCTGTTTAATTTGTATTTCATGTGTTCTTTTTTAGCGTTCTTTTTTAATATTGGTTCAACTGAAGATGGCCGTTTAAAAACGGTTGAAAATGTTTTTATTAAACATTTTTATTGCTGGATAGTTAAAGGTTTATTTTATTTTATATTTAGAATAAAATTATTATATTTAACTACCTTAATTTAAAAAATAATAAGTAGAATTTTAAATTAAGACAGATGTTAAAAATAATAAATGATAATGCAAAAGTGGAAACTCTGAGATACCAAATATTCTACATTATCAAAACTTATCATTTAATTTAAATAATACAAATAAAACATACTTTTACAAGAAAACTTATTTTTTTAAATCCAATACAAATAACTGTACAGTTAACATTAAAAGTAATTTAGCCTTATATTTATTATTTATATATAAGGCTAAATTACATTTTAAGACTAATTTAATTAACATATTATTTGTTAATTAAATTATTTTTAAATCTTTCATATCTTTGCTAAATTCAACTAGACAATGATAATTCAAACTTTTTCTACAAATGTAGTAAACTTCTGTAACTCAAAGCTCCGAGGGAAAGGAAAAACTTTAAGTTACATATGATTCAAGTTAGAGAACAATAGACTGAAAAATGCCAATTTAGAAAAGATTTGTATATTACTTCTGTTACATTATATAAAGAATTTTTTTATAATTTTTTTTTTTAAACAGCACATGTAATGCCTTGCAGAAAAATGTTTAATTTAACTAATGGAATTAAACAGTTTTATAGGTACAACTTGTTGAGATCAGATGACAAGTCCTCTCACTTTGGACTAGAATGTTGCCTGCAATGGACAGTAGATACTACTAACTGTCCGAAATATTTCATGGAAATCCAATAATTAGGAATCATTTTGGATAAAATATATATTAAAATTCAAGTCGGGAAGTTGAAAGTAAGATAAATTGGACTCAGAACCATAAAAACCTTGGATTTGGAGAAAATTCAAGTTAAGGAAATTAAGTTGAGACATTAAATCCTCTTGCTATTTCATTAAGACCTATAGAGTGCTTTGTCTTCTTCAAGTTGAAGATGAAGAAGCGTTTCATCAGAAATAAATTAAAACATTTGAACATATTAATATGTTCAACAGAATAAAAGAAATCATAGTCTAGAAAGTATTTTATTAACATATTAAAAATAGTATTTATAAAATTATATTTTGCTTCTTACATTTAGCTTGATCTATGATAAAGCTAAATATAAGAAGCACAAATACTTTCATACCCATAAATGATAATTCTTAAATCAGACTAATCTTTCTAAAACATAACACATTAATGATATTTTTCTATTTGTTTAATAAGAAAAATAATATTGTTGTGAGTGACGAGAGAAGGTGCTTTAATGTCCATTTCATATTTTTTTACACTTATAGGAAACTTAACTAAACTTCATCAAGTGGATTTTTTATTCTGGATTCCCAACTCAAACACACAAAATTTTGAAAACTATGGCATACAAAACATGAAATAAATAAAGTAGACCCCCCTATAACGCGGGTTCATATAATGTAAATTCGTATATCGCGGCAAAAAAATTGCAACCGTATTCGTATAAAGACACTAACAGAGACTCATAAAATGCGGTAAAACGTCATCACCAACTCGTGTCGCGACAGGATTGGTCGAATCTGGACCAATAGTGGACAAGCAGCTGAACTACTTACATCAGTGGTTCTCAACCTTTTTTGTTGATGTACCCCATTAGCCCATTAGTTGTTTCTCCAAGTACCCCTTATATTTTTGTATGTAAATTTTATAATTACTGCATTAGATGTATACAGCCCTTATAACTGAGTGCCATAAAAAATCTCTAACTATAACTAAAAGTAGGGTTTCTGAAACGGGATTCCAGGATCCCGGGATCCCGGTTGTTTTTTTAACCCGGGAAATATCCCGGGAAATTTTTCTTATCCCGGGAAATCCCGCAAATTTCTTAAAAATTCACTTTTTTTCTTATTTTGTGTTAAGGTTGAGGAGTTTTGCAAATAGAAAGCATAATTAACTCATTCACTGCCAGAATACATTTGTATTTATTAATTTTAAACCTACCTATTAGTTTTTTTAAATTTTTGCTCGTTATAGCATGTCACAAATGGTCAATAATCAATATATAGCTTATTTGTGGCAGGACTATAAAAATTCTTTACTTGTCGGAACCTGTAATATCTGGA